TAACGCAATATATTTCAAAAAATCCGATCACATATATACTCGTTAAGAACATTTATATATAAAATTAAAAGATCAACTAGACTAGAAATGGAGGGTAAGAAGAGACTAAGATAAAAAGGTAAATAATGTGGAAACAATTTGAAACCTAATCACTCTGTATAATCAGCTAAGGTTTAAGGTGAGAGCAAACTCTTTTTCAATACACGAAGGCGGTTTGAATTTTTGTATTAATAAGGCTTCAAAAAATCTTAATATACGTCGTAAGATTTATCTTAACTCAGTTCCAAATGGTGTTATACAAAAGTGTAAAAGGGTACAATACGTTGTTGAAGACGTTTCCTGGTATTGAGAGAAGAGTGATGCCACTGCAGTTATCACACTTGCTGAGATCATCTTTCTTTGGTATCTTGATCAGAAGTCCTTCTTCCAGTATAACAAGCAGTAAAAGTTTTTCTCTAGTGCTTAGAACTTTTAAAATAAAAATAAAAAATTTTCTGCAATCACAGAGTAAAACTGATACTACCAGATTTATCAAATGCTTAATTCTTTCTCTGTAGACTGTATATGAACAGATAGAGACTAAAATTTCACAGTTCTCTTTTAGATGTTGTCAATTCACGTATATGAAACAAATCGTAAATCTATTTCACATAGTTGAACTGATTCGATTTTATTTTCGTATTGTTCGCCCCAACAAATCATTCCTGTCTTACTTTTATCATCAAACTTGAATCACCTTGAACTTCTTCAACTAATTGTGTTATGGGCCTATATTAAATCGATATACTCCAATTGAACATGTTTCATATGGTTTCGTGTGAATTATTATTTTGTTATTAGTATTAAAACTCGTACTCAATAACTGACATTGTGTGAAGTAAAATATTTCGATTATATTATAGATTATTTTTAAGTTAATGGTGACTATCTTGTGTGCATGTGAACGTGTCATAATCGAAAACACTTTCAATCGAAATAAACAAAATGGAGGATTGAAGTTTTGCTTTATTTCTTATGACTGTCGACTATCGGATATATAAATGAGAATTCGGTTTAGCAGTTTACTAAAATGGCTTACGAATCTAATGATTATATATTAGTCAGATACAGCTGGAACATGATTGAATGCCTGAACGCAGTAGGTGTAAGACAATTATACGTCTGAGGTAATGAAAGATGACATTGCTGTACTGTGAATCGATTGAGTTTAGACATGTACACTGTTGGATAACCAGTCAGTGGTCCTAGAAGTTAAGCGTTTGCGAACGAGTTCGAATGATTTTTACTCGATTCCCTGTGGCGAGATCATGGATGCCTACTGCTTAGGAGTCCGGTGCGTAGCCGAAAAAGCTGTCCAGTGCTTGCATGTTTTCAAACATGATCTAGCTGGCAATTTTCGGAATAATCAACTCAGTTCTTTCGTGGGAGGTACTGGGTGATTTATCTAGGGTGGGGACGATTGGTTCACTACACGGCTAACAATGTATAACACTACGAAGATTGTTCACATTTCGAATTCGTGTCTATAATTTATCGTCTTCTTCAGAGAACTATGCCATTCACCATTTGTGTTTTTTGTTTGTTTTTTTGTTTTTCAAAACGAGGTCTGCTAAAAATCAGAGTATTGTGGTTCGTGCAAAAGTTTTGTAATTAATTGTGATCCATCAGCAGCTATTAGAAATAAGAAAATGCTACCATAACTGTATGGAAAAATGTTGTTGCAACGATCTTCACTCCTTAATTTATTTTTTCGAAGTAATCCTTTAGTATATTTGTAAATAATAAAAGGATGAGATGTTTCGGTTTCCAGGTGGTTGGATAAATGCTCATCTTGAGTCAAAAAGCAGTAAGTATCAGAGTCTAGATGTAGCTAGTTGAAAAAGTGATCTGTGCTTAGATGTTTGTTGTCAGAATTTGACCAAACGATTTATTGTCTTAGTCACTTCCCACCCTTTGGTTATGATTATGATAATAATTTATTTTTTCAGGACAAAATATAGCAAGTGTACGTGAAATTGAATCCCCCTTTTTCTATTTAAACTTTACGAATCGACTAGAATATTTCAATTCATTACACTGATTTCTATCATCGGCTTTCGTAAGTCTTCAACCAGCTTACAGACTGTATCAGAACCTGGTTGTTAGCTGTCTCCAGTTACAGTAAAACATTTGATACTATGGGATAAACTTGACTTCGAAATTGGCTGCTTGGACATGGATATCTTGTTTTCAGGATTTGATTTTAAATGCTGCATAGCATGTAGATTACTGGTTCAATTCATAATGAAGTCACTAATGAAAATATTTAACGAGTTGTATGATATAATTAAGTTTCTGTTTACTACTTTAACATAAAGATTATGTTGTATCCCGAAGAGAATTATGAATGGTAACTTTTGAGGATTAATTATTGGCCAATATAATATGTATATTTCCTATTGTAATTAACCTAATCGTATACGTTTCCTCTTATCACTAACTTTATTTTGACCTTTGAACTATTATTATACGATCCTTGAGTTATCATCAGTTTATTGATTACTATTCACAGCCACATTCGACTAAATATTGTACAAATGTTATTATCTATTTTATGGGTCGATATGATCTGTTTGGTTGGTATATAAACTCAGTATGTTTGAAATACAATTATTCATACCACTGAGGCTGTTATTGGTGTTTTGGGCTTAAGTGGTTGGGCTAGGTAGATCGCAGGGCCGATACGTACTCTAATCTGCTCGTACGGGTTTCGTGTCACTGTTCCAATCGATAATTCGCTGCTCCCTGTTTGGCGGTCTTATCGCGTCACACATCAACTAGACATCCACCAATCCCATCCCCGTCGCCAGTTGTTATATCTCATTGACGAGTAGATGCCTGATGGATAGGTGTTTGCAGAACTCTTGGAACTGCGCTGAGGTGAACTGCGACCCATTGTCGGATACAATCACTTCCGGTAATCCGTTCCGTGCGAACAACTCAGTCAGATGTTTCAGCGTCTAGGTGGTCGTTGGTGGCGTGACGGGTACAATCTCCGGCCATTTTGAGAGGGCGTCGATCACGACAAGATAAGTGGTTCCTTTGACTGGACTGGCAAAGTCGACATGTATCCTAGACCAGGGATACTCAGGCTGTGGCCATGGAACCGGCGGCACCTTCGCATCGCACTTTGCTGCTTGCTGACACTGAACGCATTTGTTTACTAGATCCGTGATGTGCTGGTCCATGAGGGGCCAGTAAGCATAGCTTCTGGCGATAGATTTCATACGCTTTATCCCGGGATGACCAATGTGAAATTGTTTCATCACTTTTGCGCGAAGAGACTCTGGTACAACCACTCTTTCACCAAACATCACGCAGTCGTTCACAATACATAGTGAATATCACCGCTGATACAGCTGTTTCATATCTCCATCGAACTTGACAGACGACCACCCATTGGTGATATAGCTCATAGCCCTCTTGATGACGGGGTCATCCCTTGAAGCGTTTTGTATGTCTGACGCGGACACCGGCAATGCTAGTATAGCGGTTGTCGGATGACATTCTGCGTGATCTTCCACTGACAGAGATGCGATTACCATATTTTCCTCAGTCGCCGAATGATCAATAATGAGACGTGATAGAGCATATGCTTGCCCAAATCACTGGGTACGTCGGTATTGGATTTCGAAATCGTAATCCAAGAGTACCAAGGCCCATCGCTGAAGACGGTTTGCCGAGTGGGCTGGTATACCAGACTTCGAACCGAAAATTGCGAGAAGGGGCTTGTGATCCGTAAGGAGTGTGAACCTCCGACCGTACAAAAATTTGTGGAACCGCCTCACAGCAAACACCAGGGCGAGAGCCTCCTTCTCTATCTGACTAAACTTTCTTTCTGCCGGAGTTAGCGTTCGGGATGCATGCATGACAGCCTTCTCTAATGCGTCTGAAAACTGATGAGAAATGACGGCTCCTAGGCCATACGCTGAGGCATCTGCAGCTACAATGATTGGCATGCATGGATAGTAGTGCGTTAATAATGCTGGAGGCGGTTTAATTCTTCATCTACTGTTGGTAACGTCGCATAAAGCACGGGTCTTTTGGGACGAAAGACAGGCTTAGCTCCAGGTTTCAAACGAAGCGTTGATTTTATGGCAGAACATTGTCCCAAACCAGGCTGGAAAATCGATGAAAACTGCGCCATTAGCTTCCCGGTATACGATTTAGTGTCATGAGGTTGTGATACCATGTGGCATGTGGTATTTAGTGGGACATCAGCCAATTTCAGTTGATCGAACCAGTCTAAACCAAGTAAATTTAGATCAGCTGGAGTTATATGGCATACCCCGGTAAACAACGAATCCCGGAAGGTCACTCTACATTCTAATTGTCCTGATAAGTGTAGGAAATTACCATATGCGGTACGAGGCTTTTGAGTTGTTCGCTGCAGGCTTGGGCTACCCATTTTGATCCAATTTTTGTGTGAGAGGATGGTGACGTCTGATGTTGTATCTATTTGCAATCTAAAAAAATGTCCATTAATATTAATGTTAATGAATTTCCTCTCACCTGGTGATGAGCTCTGACAAGAAGATACTAAGCTCAAAGAAGAGGTACAGGGCTTCGGAACAGTCTTTTTGGTATTACTGGATCGATTTGGTGTGCTCTTAAGGCAAAACCCGTCCTTGTGACCAACGACCTTGCACTTCCTGCATCGATGTTGCCTAAGTGGGCAATTTCGTACGTAGTGCCATGCACCACAGTGCCAGAAAGGAGTGGAGGGATTTGTTCTGGTCTGTCGAATTGGGCTGAAATGAGTTGGACTGAATGTAGCGGGAGCGCACATATTCTGGTTAGTTGTCTTTTGGACTACTCGTACTTCCGATCGACTAGACCCACCACTGGCCTACTGATATTTGCATAATTGAGAAATAATTACAAGTATTACTTTATTTGAAATGTATTATTATATAATATTTACAGTCATTCACATAATTTACAAGTTTTGTTTCATTAAGTTAATGCTTTGTGGGTTTTTCTCCTATTATCAATCCAGTTGTCCAATTCACATGATTCTCAGCTAAATATCTGGTAATCAGAAATGTACCTGATTTCAAATGATCTTTCCCTGGATTAATATGAATGTTGTCTAAATGTGTTAGTGTTCTGTTAAGTCTTTTCAAAATAATACCTAAATATACATCGTCGATTCGCATTTGTTTAGTGAATGGCATAGCAAACGATGCATCATGCACAACATCAGCTCCTAAAAAGTAACCTATTCCTAAGAAATAACGTGGATAATAGTCCCATGGATATTCATTGTAAGAGACTGCCCACCGACCACCATATCCATTTCTAGGTCTGTCAACGCTCCCAAAATATACAGATCCAGCAGAAAGTGATTTCAGTTGAGAGTAGTTAAATTTCCTTATCAAATTGATTGTGTTGTTTGGATGAAGTAGGTAGTCATCGTCAATAAACAAGAATAACGGTGACTGAGGGATACAGAAGTTTGTGGCCCAACGTAAAGACAACATCATTTTAGACGTCAAATTAAAATATGTATCATGAAAAGCACCTATCAACATATCATTATGCATTTTACTTTCATTACTTAAAATCTTGGCTACTGACCATTTCGAAACATATTTATTTGATAATTGCATTGAGTTTATCGTTAGGGTAGTCATAAAACCATCAAAGTGGTAAGTATTTGTTTCGTTTGGTGTTGGCAATCCAACTGTGAACACGAACTGTACGCTGAAATTCTTCCACAAATCTTTATTCATATAGGTCATTCGGGCAAATGCTCGCTGTTCAAAACAATAAACGCATGACTTCACGATCACCACAAGATTAACATTTCTAGTCCTAGAACAAGGATTGCAAGTGCATTTTGGTAAGCGAACAGCAATTAAGTCATCGTTATTGCATGGTATCTAAAATAAAAGATAAACAGAAAATACACGAGTCGGAAAGTTTATTTGAAGAGAGTGATAAAACAATACATTTAAATGTAATAGATGATGATAAGTTTATTAGTATATCAACTTAAAAGACATCTTGAATACATCATTAAGATACCAATAAAGATTATGATACTCAAACAAACTATCCTGACTAATATTTCTCAAAAAACCTAACAATTTAAAACTTTAAAAGGTTATATGGTAACATTTTCTTAGTTTAACTTAGCACCAAATCGAATTTAAATCATTAGAAATAGATGCTTGCACAAAACCTGCGAAATAATTGTCCATTAAAATAACGTTAGTATGAAAATCATTGCTTTCTTCTACCCGATTAGTTTTCCAATATCGGATAGATATGTTTATTTAGTAAATTACTGATTAAATAATGTCAAGTATTTTATACGCACATTCGTCAAGATTAGAACGAATAGCTTGACAAAAATTGGGCGCCGAGTGTAGAGAAGTCATTATATGTGAAAATTATATTTGAACTAATCTCAGAAATTGAAATTTTAATAATTCCAACGTTTTGTCCAGATAACTTGTCTGGACTTCCTCAGGGTGATAATCAAAATCATCAAAGAAATATATAGCGTTTAACAATTAAATCTATACTGTAGTAATCCAATCATATTTGAATGTCGCATTTTTGTAAACAGGATAATATGAGTCAGTATAAATGAGAATCAGGTGAAAAGTTCACGATGTGAAATAAAAGAAGACGGGATGAATTGTGTGTGTAAGAATGAGTTAATAGTGAATGATATTCGGTGTTGATATGTTTCTATATGAAGTAGAAACAAAAGTTCAAATTGAAGGTTGAAAAATTGTTTCTGAATCACTGAGTTGAAAGTAAAAATGAGAATCATCAAGTACATAATTGTAATGCTAAACATAACTCATATTGATTTCAGTCAAAATAACAATTCATGTGAAATAAACAGGTTGAATAAAGAAAGAGAAATTATTTGTTGATGAATATTTGCCAAATGATTGCTAGCTGAATACCATCCTTTCTGTTTAGGCTGTTCTTATTACCCTGAAGTAGTCCAGACAAGTTATCTGGACGAAACGTTGGAATTATTAAAATTTCAATTGCTGAGATTAGTTCAAATATAATTTTCACACATAAATGTCCAATATTATTCAGTTTAATGTATACAAATCTAATTGTGAATCACTGTAAATAATATAAAAATTAATATATCCATCTATTTGACCCATAAGAAAGGTCGAGTAAATTCTTATCTATCGTGTTCCTATTCTTACTTCCATTATCTGACTCTCGATTTCTAGATGTATATACCACGTTTGATCAGCACTTACAACACGATCTCTATGAAAAAATCAAAGATTTTCCAAAAAAGAAGCAATATATATAGAGAATAATAAATCTTGGAGTAATAACCTATCCAATTTTACATACCTCTTTCAATGAAAGACCAGATGAAATTGCTTTTAATGCTTTTGTTACATTAAAATATTTTGGATAATGTTCCGTTAAAATATATGCTATTGGTTGACCTTTTTCATTTCTTGTCAATATAGGATGACTAATATAACTTTTATTTTTCATTGAATAATCATCATTAAAATAATAAATAATATGATTATCATCACGTATATTATAATACAATTTCATATTCAATAATCCTGTATTTTTATTATTATAAGTAGTATATTCAATTTTATCATTTCGATGATACAATGAAATCAAATTAGTAAATAAATTTGTTATTTTATTTTGTTTTAAATAATGAAAATTATGATAATTTATAAATTTAGTTTGATATATAAAATTAATCCACGATAATTCATTCAATGTTATTTCTTCTAATTTATCATATGAACAGATTGTATCATTATTTTTTAAATTATAAAAATTTTTTAAATTATTTTTATTTAAAATATAAATAGTGGAATAAAATAAAAATAAAATTAATAAAATTGAATAAATAGTTTTCCTAATTCCAATATTTATTTTAATTATTTTAATAAAAATTGGTTTAATGATAGGTATAACTGCTTGGTGATATAATTTCATTTGAATACGAATGGAAGCTAATCATATATATATATATATATATATATATATATATATATATATATATATATACCAGTGAAGTAAGAACGGTTACCAAGAGAATGTTACATTCGGTATTATTATAAGAAAACAATCAATGTCAAATTCTATGGTAAACAGTACAGTTAATAGATATTGGTAACTATTTTTTTTGTTTTTTTTTCAATCTTTAATTGAGAACTATTTAATGTAAATTTTAAATTCATTATTTTTTTTTGTTTTTTTTCTTGGCTTCATATTACATTATTTTTTCTATGGACTCTTAAAGGTGTACAGAAATAAAAACAAAATTCATATTTATACTTTCTAGTGATCTGTTGATTTTTTGAATAATAAATATGGTATGTGTAATTTAGTATAAATGTTTTGACCTGGTTAATAGAATCTTGAATATGATCTATTTGTAAAATGTATTTTAATGATAAAGCTTAAAGAATACTTTACTAGTGACCTTCATAGGTAGTTGAAATGACCTTGATAAAATAAATTTTTAGTTGAATAGAATATGGTAAGTATCAATGGTTACTTATTTGAATACAAAAAAAAACTTAAAAGAGCTAGAATACTTGGATGCCGGCTCAGTGGTCTATCGGTTAAGTGCTCTGGCGCGAGGCTGGTAGGTCCTGGGTTCGAATCTCGCGGGTGCGGGATCGTGGATGCACACTGCTGAGGAGTCCCACAATGGGACGAAATGGCCATCAAGTTTTGTCATTTAATATGTTAGTTGTAATTATGTCAAAATATTTTAACTTTCAGATCAAAGAACCCTTTCTGAACTCAAACTTTTAACTAAATTGATGAATATTTCTTCATCTAGTTAGTCTTAAAAAATTTGGAAGAATTGAAAACAGCGTATTACGACCTTGATTCAGTGCGTAATTTCGAATGTTTTTGGATAGAATGTTCGTTAAAGTATAAGCTTCGAAGGATAGTGAATTATTTGAAGACTAAAACCGTGTAGAGACTATAGACCATCAATGTTGATGATCTCTGTCGAATGATGGGAGGCCTAATCGAGTTAGATGGGAATAGCGTGACGAACTAGCTAACTTTGAAGTCACACCACATGGTCAGCATCTAGCGTAGATTCCCCCTCCGACGTATTAAAGTACTATGACTACTTTAAAAACTGTATAACACATAGGGCGTTATTATGGAAATATATTGGTAAGAATAAGTACAGAGAATGTAATGAGACCACCACAGCATGCACAAGTCCATGGTATACGATTAACTGACCCGCGTTTGTTGTCCTTGACTTTGAAAGGGATCGGTGATCTGTTTGATATTCAGTGACCCAACTGCTGGATGATTTGGCTAGGGCTCAGTGACATTTCACTGTCCCTACAAGAATTATAAACAGAGATGGATGGTTGCTAGCAGTGGAATCCAGGACGCGCGTTTCGCCCTATTTGAGACTCGTCATCTGGATATATCTGCATCCCACGGTCGATGTTCATTCCGAGATAGTTTCTGTCAATGAATTTGGTTAAGACTTGTTTATAGATTTTAACGAGCGTAATAAAAAATATTGGTGAGTTATCATAACTCTGGTTGGTTTGAAATACATCTCAACGTACAATTTCAGTTCTTAAGAAATTCGGAATAAAGACATGTCTTAGGAGTTCGATTAAGGTATTTTTAGCAAGTTAATAAAGGCAATGAAGCGAGAGGTACTTAATAATCCTTGAAGACATTTACCCATGGTAATCTTGTACCTATCGTCTATGTTGCTGATATTCTTGTAAATGATCGAGTGGAACGAACTACTGTGAAGTTAAGGAGTTTGAAAGCTTTCATATGACTGGTCATTTCTACACACTAATGCTTACATCCACAAAACTTCAAGACATTCTTCCCTGTGACCAGCGATATGTTCTTACCAATTTGCCTGATGAAAATACTGAACTTGAAATATTACACATAACTAAGCTATCTCAGAAAGACAAAGCAGAACTATAATATCTTTTAAGTATGAATGCCAAGCTTTGACTTGATAGTTCCAAATATATTGAGCAATTAGTAGATTTTTATTATGAGATCTTCCAGTTTTCAGTATGTGTTTGATCAGCACCATTTACAATTGTATAATCATTCTAAATTATTCATAATGAAGTACATAATCTACCGAAACATTGTGTGAGTACATCTCATCTGGATTGTTGTGGCGTTAGCTCTGTCTAATGAAAGAGTTTGAACAGTTATTCTGATTACCAAGGCATCAGTTCCCTATATGTTTCTGTATTTCCGAAGTTTCTTTTACTCCTTTACCATTCATATTACCATGTCATCTTCTATCAAACTACATTTTCCTATTTTTGATAAAACTTACTATAATTTTTTACAATTCTGTCTAATCTTCAAACATCCATCTTTTCTATTCTTTATTTTACCATAAATTATCAGCTATACTCCATGAACCTCATCCATAAAGAAACAAACTAATCAACAAAACTATCATTACAATTATCTTCAATGAAATAGTAAGACCTGGTTTAAAAGTAAAAATTATTAAAGTCAAGTACATAGATTAAATAGTTTTTAATAAAATAAGTTAAGTAAGCCAATGACTTACATTATAAGTAGTTATTAAAGGTAAGCTTCAAGCAATTTACATTAGTTTTGACAATAAAAGAATCAATCAAAATATAAAAATCAGTTATCATCGAATGAATTTATGCGTAAAGAAAATGCTAAACTGTTTATACCTCATATTCATCACTTAAAATGAGTAGACCTTTTCTATTAAGTAAACGATCAAATGTTTATTTATTTTGGCATACCACTGCTCCAGTTCATTATACGTTTACTGATTTTATAATGTACATTTATCCCACCTGACATAATATCCTTTTTAGTTAAAGACGGACCAATAATGTTCAAATGAACAAGTGTTATATTTAATTTATTAAATAAGATCCCTAAATAGGCGTCATCAATGCGTATTTCTTTAACGAAAGCACTTGCAGTAGCAAGACGATGCACTAAGTTTGCACCAATAATATAAGTCAATCCATGATAGTAGGGCGGATAAGATATCCATGGAAATTCTTTTACAGTCATTGCCCAGACACTGCTTGTTTCATTAACCATTGGTCTAAAAACAGTTCGAGATGAACGGATGTAACCTCCATTCATATTTCTTAAATAGTCTTCAGTATTATTATAATAAAATGTTATTACGTTCTTTGGTACTAAATCATAGTCATCATCTATAAACAAATATAAAGGGACTTGTTTTGGACAAAATGCTGAGAGCCATCTTAAACCAAATATCATCTTCTTTGTTAAGTTGTAATATGTATCATGAAATGATCCAATCAACAAATCATCATATAAATCAACCTCCAATGACAACTGTCTTACAAACGACCACTTGGAACTTCCATAATGTTTAGAAAATTCCCACCACTTTGTATCCAAGATATATGTATTTCCATCAAATCGGAACAAATTTGATTCGTTTTCCATGGGGATACCTAGAACAAATACAAACTGAACACTGAAATTCGGCCATAATTGCTTTTGCATAAATGTTCGTCTTGCACGGTCACGTTTTTCGAAGTTATACACTGACGATTTGATTATTACTATCAGATGTGGAATTAACTCATTGTTGTATGATCTGCAGACAGACTCGGGAACCCGGAGCGCAAACATTTCTGGATTATTGATAGGTTTCTGAAAGATAAAACAGTTTGTTCTTTATGTGAAGAATATCAAAAAAATTAAAATAATTAACCATCCATTGTAATCGTTATCTATTCTACTTTAGATGACCTTAATGTATGTTTTCTTTTATCAGTTGTGATATTTTTTAGATGAAGAGATTTCACGGAGAGAATATTTGTCTGTAGGTAATATTCATCACAGATCGATCTAGTTTCAGTTACTAGTGAAAAACAAATATATATATATATATATATATATATATATATATACGGGATACTAGACGTACCGTGGGAAACGGGATTACGTTTTGTATATCATAGACCAGTTTTGAAAAGTTCAAATTTTGGGGAAATATAGAGTAGTCAGTTGAATTTGATCCCATATATTCTGGTTCTACACCAGTTAATAATTCCTCTTGTTTGTAGCTGTTATATACCATATCTGCAAATTTATTGTAAAGATCTTCATCCTTAGAATCTGTTGCGTTATGTGCAAGTGAAAATTGTAATGCAAGATTGAAACTATTTAAACGTTTGTCAATTAAGTATGTAACAGATGGTGGTGGCCAACGTTGCAAATATGAATCTAGTGAGATAATTTTTTCATTACTTATCCGATTCAAATATTTAGTACATTTAATCCATGAATGTTTAGATTTGATGCAGTTTTTAAAATATTCATTCTCATTAATTGTATATAATGAAGGATGATAAATTAATAATTTTATGCTAAATAACCATAAGATGACAAGATAAATTATACACCCACTGCTAATAATAATCAATCCTCTCTGAATTTGTGACATTTGAATAAATAAAAGACTGGGTAATACACTAAGTAATTATGAGAGTTGTGGAACCTTGTTAATCAGTAATATGTATTATTGTAAATGAATAAAACAAGAACTTTCAAAAAGAAATAATCAGTATGGTTATACTTCAGAATGTTGAAAATGGTCGATTTCAGTTGCGCATGTTATGTTTTATAAAATGTACATTTATTCATGTATAATCTATAAATGGCCATTGCTTTGGGTCTAGGGGGTTCAGTGACTGTTTACTCTTAGTTAAGCGTACGAACAGAAGTTTATTCAAGACTTAATTTTGGGTTAGTTTGTCAAAAAATTCAAACATTTAAAGAAATAACTTCAAGTTTCCGGTCATTGGGCGTTATTTTATTGAATAGTTTTTATTGTTCACTTTCTACTGTGATCACAAAATTCATTAGGAGCAAATAAGTAATCATAATATACATTTAGCCCTCAGATCAACCGCTAATAAAACATAAAACGAGGATGTGGCCTTCTAATCAAATATCATATATATCAGGTCTAACATTTTCTCTGAAGAATAAGGAATTTATCAACCCTCTCTGAAGATTCAAATCTACTGTTTTATTGATCAGTATTTGAAGGCGAAAGCAAGACATTTATATTGTATAGGTAAGGTTTCTTAGGTAGCCCGATGAAATAAAGTAACAAGGCGATATTCCACTAATGTTACTGGTTACGGTTATAGATTTTGTGTTAGCAAACCTAGGAGGTTACTTGAGTAGTGTATTGAAAATTCAGTTAGTGTATTCTTGAAACATGATGGCTAAAGAAAAAGAAGCAAAATTGCTTAAGAATAATTTAGATAGGTTTTAGGCTAAGTTAAAACCAGCTAGGTGATCCAACCAGAATTATATAAAAAGTTAGAAGTAACGACTTTTTAAAATTATTCCACTACAGGACTTTACTTAAGACTCATAAAGAATGGTTAAAAGAGTGTTACTCTATCGTTTAGTGAGTAACCGAACTCTTTAAGCCACTAAACCTATAAGTCTGTATTTACTCTTCAGGAAACTCTCCGGAAATTATTGACTACACTAATAACTGAGGATATCATTTTAGATTAATGTTATATCAAGCTTATGGTATTTATTTAGGAATGTTATACAAAACTATAGAATAGACCTTATATGTGGGTACATCTCTGTCTTACCTAAAGGACCATTCTCAGATTTAGCTTAAATTCTCAACAACATCTACTGATAGATAAACAATAGTACATTGGAGTAGCCATTGGGACCATAACTTAGTTATTGCTTCTTGGTAAGAATGCATATGCAGGAGATAATATTAACGGTAATTTGAGCATTTGCGACGAAAGTTTGGAATCTGATATTTTCCTTAATACATTTAATGAATCGCATCCACCAGTCCATACAATTCACCTATGAAAAAGAAATGAAACCTACGATCTCGTTTCTATATATTCTGACAATAAGATCTCATATGACCTAATATGGCATTAGCGTTAGCTAGATGAATAAAATCCAAGATTTGTATCTACAGAAGTAGTCTCGATAATTGTTTTAGTGACCATGATTATAGTTTCCATAGTATTTGCAAATTTTTTCATTCATCTTTTCCTATTTTATTTCACATTTTTAAATGATACATTTCCTTGTCTCATCCAATCAATAAGATCCAACCATAATACTGTGTATTATCTGACCCATAAATTATTTTCTTCCTTACCCCTTGATTAGTACGTCACCTCATTTGTTATTTATTGTCGAATAAATTTATAATGTAATTTTTCTAGCCTCCTGTAGACATATATTTTCCATATCACTATATATACGAATGTACAGCTTAAGTAAATGATTTCGTCGAAAAGAAAATTTTCTTCGCTGAATTCTCTTTTTCTTATTCAATGACATTATTATTATTATTATTATTATTATTATTATTATTATTAGCTTTATTCAATATTATATTTTTGGTACAATATAGAATTCTCAGCACAAAGTACTTCAACAAGTTTCCGTTTCTTACTTCTTCGTCCTTCCTGACGGCAAATATTGAGTGATCGCCAGTTAGAACTTAGCAGCCCAGTCAATCGACATCTGGATAATGTACATTCTTCTAGCTGCATATTGTCAGCAACCACGATATCTCTGATTAAGCCTTCTGTAGCCGTTACAGCGAAAGGTCTTACACTTTTCAGAAACGCACGAAATTAGATAACTTGTTGAAATATCTAGATGACAGGAACAGGTAGCCCAGATGTTTAAACAGGCCACCCTCAAACTTCAGGAGGATCTGACTCGACTTAAAAGTTTGGCGGACAACAACGGACCTACCTTTGACACGTCGAAGTAGTCCATCTGAGACATGTTGCAGACTACAAATACAACTTAGATGACTACTCTCTAGAAGTACGCCTAGTTGAAAAAGGTTTAGGAGTGCCGGTACCTTGCTATTTGAAGTATTACGCTAACTGCGACAAAAACGACGTCCGAGCAAACCTTGCACTGGTAACACTGAATTGTACTTTTGGCCAGTTTAACGGAAGAACCTTCCACATAATCTCCAACGGTTTTATTCGACCCCATTTAAAGTATGAGAACATATTTGTTTCCTCCTACACTCCGAAAGGATTAAGATACATTGGAACGTATCCAACGACGAGACACGCAATCAGTTCGGGGACTTAAAGTCGGGCCTCTTGAAGAACACCTACAAACACTACACATTTACCTATTTATTGTACAAGCTTCTTAGATGTGACCTTCTGATTATTATTATTATGCGTACAATGTATTAATCTTGTTATCATTATTACCATTATTCATTTTATCATTATCATGTCGTCACTTGCTATTCTCACCGATTACAATATTCATCTATCTACCTAAAAAATTACATTAAAACCTTCCAATGTGAAGTTAAGTCTTTTACCGTCTGTTTCTGATATTTCTTATTTGGCCCACTATTATTTACTACAGTACTTGTGAATGTACCAGTCATCACACAATCGCAAATCACAAAATAAAAGGTTTTTTTCTTTTCTGAAATATTTATTTGATTTATTCGAAGATAACTTATGATAATCGTACGGGTAACTGATTCATGGATAGTATATTACAATTCATAGTCAATTTACAATAATCTTTAAAGAAGATGACGAAATAAGGGTAAAATCTTTATTATTACCATTGGAAAATGACTTTAGTGTACTTTTTTAAATCTCAAACAAGAAATTTTATTTTTCGCACAAGAACGACTGAAAATCATAATGAAACTGGTAAAAGTCCGAAATATCTCCAAACTTATTTTATTTATTTAATCTAAGTTTGTCTATTTTATTCATCTATGATTAATCCAGTTATCTAGTCAACATATTTTTCTCTTGAATATCCAGCAACTTTAACTGCTTTGTACTTTTCATTTTCTGTGTATGAATTGATAGTAAAATTGTCTAAATCAATAAGAGATTGATTGAATTGTTTCAGTATTATTTTCAAAAAAATCATCGTTGATTCGAAGTTCTTTAGTGAATGACAGAGTATCATGTACAACATATGTCTCTAAAATATAGTATACACCGTTAAAATAAGGTGAAAATGGTTTCCAGGGATACTTATCTACCTAAAGTGACCAACGATTATTAAACGTTCCTTTCGATCTTTCTACGTTTGTAGAATAAAAGGGAATCTACTGCAATCGACTTGACCTTAAATGCTTTTAGTTTTTGTACTAATTTTATCCTAGAATTTCATATTAAGTAGTACAATATTTTGTAGTAACATTTAGATTCTTTGTCTACTTTCATTACTAGTAACGTAATGGAAGCTAGGTGGATCCACCAAGGATTTTAAGTAGTAATAGCTTCACACTTTGTAGTGAACATTCTGAATTTAACATCTTCACTCATCTTGAATCTTACAGCCAAGTTAACTGTTTTAAATCTTTTAACTCAAAAACATATTCTTTGTACTCTCCTGACTATGTTTAACAAACACTATGTATTAATGAACTTTCAGGATTAACGTACTACTCATAGTTATGGGTGCCTCAGTTGAAGAACATCCCAAGAATTCACCACCTCATTCTTTCATTCACATGGATCAGTTTGAAAATCCAAAAAATTCCAAATACCTAATGTAACAATACCGCATACAATCAATACTTTTCTTGGCATGAAATGAGTATTGTAAAATTGTGGTCAACAAAGCTGGAGTGTGAATTGTTTATCCTTGCAAATGCCCTTCATTATTTGAAACTAAGTATGTATAAAAATTTTACATTCTGGTGGAAGAATGGATGCAGTAACAGGGAACTGAAATGGAAGTGCTTTTTTCAAAGATAAAAAATACGGACGCTTACAACGATGTGAGTTTTAATTTATTTGGGTAGTACGAGGTAATAAAACTACTAACAAGTGAGGGAAATGAGACAAGCAAATATCTCTCCTGGTTTATTTTGCGATTACCCAACAGTTCAAGTCCCCATAGAATGTCAAAACCACTAAACCATCATTTTGAAATAGTAAAGAAGAGGAATACCAATAAAATACTACACAGAAGAATAACCGTTGTTTACACGGTGGACGAATAAAATGCTGTTGATATATTAGGTGACTTCACAAATCTCTTAGACATAACTCACATTATAAGTTTACTGAGTGAAGACGCTGAGCTATAACAGACATACTGCAGACGCTTATTTAAAGATTTCTGACACTGTCTTTTTAGGGCGTCAGACAGCTTTGTTCAAACTACTAACAACATAAAGTATAGAAATTAGTTGTTATTCAATTCTATACTCTGAGATTGCTAAAATGCTATCAGGCTAAAAGTTATCCATTGATGATGTTACATAATATCAAAATGACCAAAATTTTATGGCTGTAAATCGGTTTATAGAATAAAAGTGCAGTAGCTTCAAAAAGAACCGACTGTTATACAAACTTCACATGATCTGAACTCAAGGATAATTAGTACGTTTTGAAACACAACGAGACCGTTATAAATACG